TAGATTCCTGGAGCTGTTTCCTCTGCTCGTACTATTCCTATCCGATTTTGCTTCGTTATCGCTTTTACGATTGTTTCGCTGCGCGGTTTTAGGATTGTTTTGTTAAACGTATGGAATTTTAACACGGCGTCTCCTATTTTTAATTGATTTTGGTTGTAATCACAGGATACTGAATGTTGTCGAAGGAAATCAATTCCTAGTATTCCTTCATATTCGATCGGAATGTCGTCTCTTACAACGTAAAATGCATGTTTTACCTTGTGGTTTTTCTATTTTAATCGTGGCGTACATTTTTCCTATGGTGTTTACTTTATGCCCGGTTATGCCTGTGAGCGCGATTTTACCTTCATGTATTAGTGTGTCGTCCTTTAAATGTTTCAATTTTATTATTGAGATGGTCGACCCTGAGTCGTACAACATCTGTATCTTTCCGTCTTTCGCTTGTTGCATTGGTAATGTTGTTAGCAATAAGACGGTTTTTTCTGTGCGCGTGGCATATCTTTAATATGTATACTACTTTTCGGTTTTCCGTTTAGACTCCAGCATTTGTCGCGGCTGTGTCCTGTCCTTTTGCAATGCGTGCAGTATTTACTTATCGCGTTTATTCGCGAGGGTTTTTCCGGTTTCGGGAGCACGTATCGGCTACTTCGACAATCGCGTCCGAAATGTCCATTTTTTCCGCATTTAAAGCATTGCGGGTTCGAACTTCGACTATTTCGCGAGTAACTTGATTCGGTTTTATTTTTATTAACAAAACTACTCGCTTTTTCTTCGATCATTGAATCGTATAATTTCATCGCTAGTAAATCAACGCGTTGTCCGAAAGCGTGCGCAGTTTCATTCGGCTTTTGTTTTAGCGAATTGAATTCGATCTGTAAATATGTCGTGCTTTGTTTCGACTAGTAACAAGTCTCGAGTTGTTGTTTTAGTTCGTCGAAAGTCTGAATATTTCGTGTCTCGAAATCCTGCATGGCTTTTCCTTTTAGTTTCGTATATAAAATTGCTCGGATTAACGATTCTTCATCCGCGGGATTTATGTCTTGAACGACGTACGTATATGCATTTAAAAATTCTAATAACTTATGTCGCGATGTTCCGTCAAATTCGGGAATCATTGTTCTTGCTTCCTTTAACGGCAAGTAGTTCGGAGCAATGCTACGTCGATTTCTGATGTCGCGGTCGGTTCACCCGTATGTGGCATTAAACGCGTCGTTATCGGCTTCCCGGCGGTTACATCCGTGACGTGGCAAATCCATAATCGCGTCTTCTACTCGCGTTACTCGCCTATTCATTGCTCTTATTTCTCTAAATGCTGCGCATTTCATTTAGCATTTCGAAGAGTTGCGTATCATCTCTTCTTTCCTCGCGATATGTTTCGGGAGGCGGCGTGCGATTCGCCTCCGCTATGTTTTGGTCCATCTGGCGAATGGATCGTCGCGTGTGTTCTATTTCTTCGTCTACCGCTCTTTGCGGTGGGTCCGCGGGAGCGCGTTCTTGCGGATTTCGCGATTCGGCCATATTATTTTCTTGTTGGCTATAAATCTTTTCCGGATCGAACAGATCGCTCTTGTAGGACATTAACGAAAATTCGCGTCGTAAAGATACTTTACTTGGAGTTCTGCTAATATACGGTCGCGTACGTCTAGTCTCGCGTTGGGTGTTGTCAGTGGGGTCAGTCGTATTACGCGAGAGTAGTTTTACGTGTGCTGGCGTGCCTGCCCTGTTCACACTCGGGGTGCTTTGCAGGTCTTGGGGAAGGCTTGGCTGCTTCCGTCCGTCAACTTTAATTCGATTGGTTGCTGGCGTGCCCGTTTTTGAACAGTTGTGTCTTTTTCAGGTCTTAGCGGGATGAGCTCGCTGACGTCCTCTGGCAGATCCCACCGCTGCCACCAATTTTGTTATGCCTCGGGTGAGGCACGGTAAATTTCGGTCTCGTTGCCGGATTAAGACTTAGGAATCTGGGATGCGTCTGGCGGGTTACCCGTAGCACTGGACACTTTTCATGTTAAATAAAACTTTTATTCATTACAAATGTTTTTAGTTATAATTCGTCCTCGTATTTATTACCTACTCGGGTCGCGTATCGCGTTAACTGACACTCGCGTGCGCGTGTTTGGAGTCGGGTTTACGTCGCGAGACTCGCTTCTCGATCTCCACGACTTTTACTAATTGTAAGTGTGACTACTCGATATTGCATAATTATCGACACTTGCTGCTGACACTCGCGACTGTTAGCGCTACTACCCGCGTAATATTAATTAAGGATAAAGACTACCCGCCGCTCGTTAGCGATGTGTCTTTTTATTATCTCCCCTTGGTTTCCCAGGAGGGGATCGTTTAGCGACAAGACCATGTACCGTGTCGCTCGATTTTTGCGGCAAGATCCGGATGCAAGCTAAGGAGTTTTAAGTAGGACTTCTTTGCTTGCATTTTCGCAATTTCCTTATTCCTTTTTGTTTCGCTTTTAAATAGGACTTCTACGTTGCATTTTCGCAACGCCCTTATTCCGCTTGCCTTGATTTCCGCGTTTTCGCAATGAAGTGATTGCGCCGTCGCTCGCGCGGCTTTGCGCGTGGCTCGCATTGTCAGCGTTTCGCTCGGTCAACGTTCGTAACGTGATCTGTATTTGCGTTACACGTTGAGCATTGTCTTATCGTATAAAATAATATATCTCTAAAATAATATATATCTAGTAATTCGTGTATAGCCTTTTCGGGCTATAACACTATGCTCGCGCAGGCGCAAAGCGTTCACGGCGCGTTGCGCGACGCTAGCCGACGCGACATCGCGTGAGCCCTTGAGCAGTTCGAGTTTCGCGAGCGCGACTTCGCCGTCCCTGAGTTGATCGACCGGCTTTACGAGCGCAACGTTAGGCGAGTCGTCGCGTCGCCGATCGACGAGGAGCCCGAATCGCGGCCGATCGGCGAGGAGCCCGAATCGCAGCCGATGGAGGACGAGGCTGAACCATCGACGGTCGACGAGGGTGAACCGCCGGCGGGTGTACGATTAGAGGGTTACGAGCCTGAATCGCAGCCGTTCGACGAGGAGTAACTTTACGCGTTAATAAAATTTGATTTTTGTCCGTACTTATATACTTCATGTATCGCACGCGCACATTTGTAAGATGCAAATTTTTACGAATAAACGCTATATGTTAAATGAAGCGCCGATTCTTTTCGCTTCTCTTTCCTTCTCCGGCATCCTCTCGCTCTCGCGCTTCTCGTAATGAGCGTCGCGCTATCCTTCTTTCGCGCCTCTCGTAGTAAGCGTCGGCGCTCTCTTATCGCGGAAGGATACGCGCTCGCGATAAAAATAGTGTTCGTCTAATGCAGTGCTCGGAGATAGTTGCCCTTTTCGGGCCGATATGTGAGGCGCCGCCTACGCCCCCCCCCCTACCGCTCGAGGCTCGACGGCCGAGCCGCCGATCGCGCGCTATGCCTCAGGAGCGTCTCGATCTAAAAAATATGCTGAGATTGTACCTGCCGTCAAAACGTCGTTTAAATTTGCTTTGCCAGATAATTTTTATAATAGCTTTCCACATCACCCATGAGGTACTATTGTCGATGCTTTTTTTTTAAGTGGTTTCCCCAGTAGGCCTATTCTACTAAAAGATATAAAAGACTAGAAGATAATTAAATATGTGGCTTGATAAGAAAACAATATTTTATATCGTAAGATATAATATAAAAACGAAAAACGAAGCAAAAGAAACCGAAAACCAATTTGGATCAAAATTTTAATTTGATATTCTAGGTCGTTTGCACAATTCTACTAGAGATGATATATCCACAGAGATTTTAGATGAACTAACGCGCATCAGCGAGGATAATGATGTATCGCTTAAAGAAGAACGTTTTTCTGTTTTAATAACAGCAGAAGAGAGAAAACAAACGACAAACAATGAACGATTCTGCTGTTTTTTAACGCTCAACGGTTATTCAAGGGGATCCAAAAGTGACGGCCGAACTCCGACGGGTTAGCGCCCTCATCCAAGCGTAACTAAAATTATCGATAATACCGACCGAAATTATCTAAGACGAGCGCATTTAAACTCTTGTGTGAGATTGCAGAGTTTTGGAGATCGACATTATTAAAGTAAAAAGTGTTTGTTACGCTATTTGCGTAATAGTTATAGTGTATCGTGTGTTAGTCGTACGGTTTACTATTTCTGGATTTTCTAAAAAATGGATAAGGACCAAAGATACGTGCAAGCTTTTGATAAGGTATGGGAAGAAATATTTTTTGCGTCTATTTGTAATAAAATCACCTGTCTTTTGTGTGGTTATCAACCCACTCTTATAAAAAAATACATTCTTTATAGACATTATAAAACTAAACACATAAATGAATATTCGAAATATGTGGACGAGGAGAAATTTAATTTAATTGAGGGATTGAAATTAGTTTATCAAGAAAGTTGTAGTTCGAGTTCTGTCGATAATGCTACATCTTCGATAAAAGCTCTTACAGCGTCGTATGTAATTTCAAATCTTATCGCGAAAAATTCCAAGCCGTTTCGTGAAGGAAAATTTATAAAGGAATGCTTCATCGCAGCAGTAGAGTCGTTTGGAAATTCGTTAACTCTTGATGAAGCTGCTAGTATTCCTTTAATTGACAAAATAGTAAAATCCCGCATAAATGATATTGCTTCTTCTTTAGAAAAAAAATTAAAATCCTTATTAGAATCTTGTTCTTTTTTTTCATTATGTCTCGATGAGAGCACCGATAATCGGCATGTGAGTCAACTGAGTATTTTTGCTCGAATCGTGCAAAACGATTTTTCATATGTCGAGGAGCTCTTAGATGTTGTCCCACTACATAACACAACAAGGGGTATTGATATCTTCGAAGCTGTTAACCAAACTCTTCAAAAATTTGATATAGATTTCTCAAAATGTTCAGCTATCGTAACTGATGGCGCAAGAGCAATGATAGGTTCGAAAATGTAAATCTTAAATGCTACGGTATTGCTTATTAGATAAAAAGGCTTTTTATGCGACTTATACAGTGAGGTATACGTCTGTCGTGATGTTTTCAGTGAGTCTAGCGTGGCCCAGTTGTATCAGAAAGTCTCTCAGGTTGTGGGCCCCCTCAGTATATTCATTGTATATCATTAATTTTACCATTGCAGTTCTATCACCAAGGGGATGGACTATTTGCATCCATCCTTCTTGGCGCTCTGTGAGGATCTTACATAATTGCCGTATCTTTTCGGGCCATTCCGTAGCTGTTGTAACCGCTGGGCCTGTGTGTGGTAAACCGCATCTGATGCTTTGCCACGGCAAGTCTCGGAATCGGTCTTCTAAAAAATAAACATGTCCCATAGGCCTCCAGATTACCATGCCCCAATCTCTGAGAGAGATTTTGATCCTATGCGTCATTGTATTAACTCTTATAATGACGCCGCGTTGCCAGATGGTTTTAATTTTGACAGCGCAAGGCTCATCTTCTTTCAAGTCTTCAGGCCAACAATGAAGATATTGAGATCGTCGATTCATTCGGAAGTTAAGCTTTTCGATAAGCTCCATCAGATCTCTTTCGCCGTTCTTCAGCTGGACCCAGAAAAGCGATGGAGATTCCGCGCGTGTTACCCGTATTTCCAACCGTCCGCGGGTTAATTCATGGGTGTTGATATTTTCGATTTCCATTTTCTAGAAATAGTTAAAACTGCTTGATGTAGTAAAAAAAAATTTACAAAAGCTCTTTTTTTTATTCTTGTTGATGGAAAGGAAGAGGATAAAAGACGTTTAATAAAAATTTTCTTCTATTATTTTTGTTATTATTATTATTATTAATATATAATTAATATACTTTTTCTTCTTTCCCCTTTTTTTTATTTTTACTCCCTTATTTCTAATGTATAGATAGCGTTTTCTTCCGGATGTAGCAGAGGATATACGGCGTTCCTTTCCATGGTGTTTATGTTACGGGTTTCTTGTTTAGTGGGTTTTATTACTTTATGGTCTTCCAGTGGTGCGCTTGGCGGTGGTGGTGGTGGATTTGGCTGTGGCCTCTCGGGTTGCTTCCGTCTTCCCAGATGTAACAAAAGATTTGTGAGGGAATCCCAGATTGCTCCAAGTAAATAGATTGACCATCCATACACAGTATGTAAGGCATATCCATGTACAATTGTGTCTAATATTAACTTGGAAACTTTTGCGACTAAATAAATCCCGAGTAATCCAGCGCTGATATTGCCGAAAAACAGGAACTTATTCCAGAATTTTTTCCAAGCGGAAGCGGCTATCTTTTCCATAAATGCTTCATCTAATAAATTGGAAATGGAGCCACCCTATAGAGAAGTGGGTCTTCCCATTACTCCTCTTGCTACGGTGCTAAGTACTGACGGTCGTTCGGCCAGAAACATTATATGATCTCTCAGATCTTTTAACTCTTTTTCAGAATATATACCACTCTGTAATTATCATAGCTTGTTTTGTTTTAACTCGTACAAGTTTTTTTCAATTGACATTGTAAACATTGCTGTATGTATCGTTGAACATCGGCTTTCAAGTTTTCCCAGTAATAATTATGTTTTATTCGGTTGTAAGAGTTTTTGTGACTCCCCGGTGCCCTCCCGTTGGTAAACAATGCATTTCATTACATGAGATGTGTAAGTACCCGGTTTTGCCTCAACACAAGGAAAGTAACAGTAAATACGGCGGTTGTATATTCCGGCGTACAAAGTGGCGATCAAAACTAATATGATATATTCTCTAATATGTACAGAATACAATGCTGCATTTACCGAAACAAATGCTCTATATGGAAAAAGTGCACAACGACTCGATTCTTGCCTCGATATCGACCTTTTTGGGCTAAAAACTTTGAACTTCTATTAAAAAAGAAATATCGTGTGCACAGGGGCACGGTTTGTTTTAAAATAATGATGGCGTCAATCTACAAGTAATAACACAAGTTAGCCATAGATAGCAGAATTTATTACGAAAAAACAAGGTACCCGGTTTGACCCGCCTACCCAGTTTTACCCAATTTTCCCCAATTTTCCCCTACATGATCGTTGTATATACAATATATTTCAAGTTTGTACCATCTTGTTTAAATAAAATCAATAAATTCGCATTGTCGCGTATAAGATGCTTGGGTATCTTGGTATACGTTTGACAAAGATAGAAACAGTCGACGAATGTCGACTCATTGCAAAGTATTCTCTTATCGTATCTTGCTTGTCGCACGTCATCAAAGATAAAAATGGAATTCGGAAGCGCCTCGCACGGTGGAATGATGTCACTATTATTAGAGAATGTAAAATAATCAATTTTATCAATCAGTAACAGCAAGTTTTCCAAGTATCAATATTTCGGTTGTTGAAGCGATTTCGAGTATATGTACACATCCTCGAAACATATACCGTGTGGGCTTTCTATCAAACTTATCAACACGTTAGTCTTACCGCAATTCGAAGGACTGCAAATGATACCGCGTATAGTAATCGGCAGCATGTTTCCATGTTTGCGTATTTCTTTCTCGGACATTAGTCGTGTTTTATCGTCAAAATTTGTCACTTTGATTATCGTCGCTTGACGCACGAACCGCATATTTGCTCTCGCGAATCTCAAATCAGATTTTTGGAAAATGAGTCATTGGGGTCCTATTTATAGAAGTGCACCGAATCGAAACTGCTTAGCCTCGAAAATGTTTCTTCTTCTGTCGGTTAACGATATTCTCGAGCTTACCGCCGAGCAGTTACAGATTATCCCCAAGATTGTTTTACTGCGAGACTTTGGTGGCTACGTGGAACAATTGTGGGACAAGTTTCCCGAACATATAATGGCTGACTTTGAGGTTTGACAACATTGTCGATGTATGCGACATTATAATTTGCCGTGGCAGCAAACACATATCGACATTCCAACACAGTTAATAAAAGATTGTGGCAAATGCCGGCGAAAACTATAAGAGGTAGCAACGATTTCGACCAGCGACACGTTGCAGATAATATACTCGCCGCGAAAGCGCGAACACGTATTACCGCGAAAGATTCGACTCTTGGCGAAAGAGCAGTCGCTACAGCTGTTCGGGCGGCTATGAAAGCAAAGACAAAATTCGATATGGGGATGAAAACAAAATATTATCGATGAAGAAAAAGACTGCGAAAAAACGAATACTTCCTGTAGCGAAGCGCGGTAGTATCTTACCAATTTTACCATTATTGGGAGTTCTCGGTTCTTTGGCTGGCGGAGCAGCGGGAATCGCAAAGGCGGTGAATGATAACAATGCGGCGCAACGTCAACTCGACGAAAGTCAACGTCATAATCACACCATGGACTTTATCTCGCTCCATACAAGCGTGGATGAAGGTTCTCAACAACGGCTAAGAAAAAGAAACGTCAAAAAACGGTAAAAATGCCTGCCGGTGTAACAACCAATATGCAATTGGAATAACATGCAAAACATATGCATATAACATTCTTTAGAGGCGTTTTCATGCGCAATAATTTACCGATAAACAGTGTACGACGAAATGAGAGCAGTATCGTCAATTTGAATGACGTCGATGGTTCCGGTACTCATTGGGTAGCATATGCAAAGTGAGGAGATCGGGTAGTATATTTCGATAGTTTTGGAAATCTTTGACCGCCCAAGGAATTAGTACGATATTTTGGATAGAATGTGGCAAATATAGAATACACCGAGAAAAAAGTTATACTAATGGTAACAAAAAAATAAAATTATTCACAGATAGTCGTTTTTAATTAAACAATTTTGTTAAGATGGCAAAATGTAATATTTTTTTGATTAGACAAGCAGAATTTGGTGAACTTCTTGAATTAATAAAACGATATTATTTGGTTACTTATATTTTGTAAATAGTAATATAAAGTTCGGTCGCAGTTACAAAATAAATTATCTTTTAATAATTTCAACAAAATAATCTGTTATGATAGAAAACATTTTTGTTAAATGTAGTACGGAACGGTATGATACAGAGTTAACCAAACAATTTTTTAATAAATTGTAACGCGGTCACCTTTCTCGACGCTCAAATCGGTTCGTCGGTGTCCGGGTTCGAGGGAAGGGGAGATTCAAACTTACGCGAACACAGGTTAGGTAGAAAAGATAGTTTATTCAGAGAAAGTGTACAAGCGGGTTGGCGTGCAGGACCAAGCGGTTGCGGTCAGCATGCGACAGGCATTCGGCGGGCTCCACGGCGCGGAGCGGCGTGCGGCTGGAAGTGCAAAGCGGTTAGTTCGTGCAGGCGGCGCTAGGTCGAGTGTCTGGGCTTAATATCTACCGGGTATTTTATTTACATGCAGACTTATGGCTACGTCGTGGTTAAGATTAGCGGGCTTACTACTAGCAGGCTTATTACTATGGCGCGTGCGCGAGGCGAGAAGCTTATATCTATGACGCGGTATTTATATGCGGTTTTATGACTACGGCGCGGTTACGACTAGCGGGCTTAGTGCTAGGGCGCGGGTACGGCTCGCGGATTTATTTCTAAAGATGACATTTCATGGGCAGTGAAAAGCAGCAGCAGTTTAGAAAGTAACTAGAATCGATGACGTACTTTCGGCGTAAGTTTTTGCTGTTTGAAGTTCATCCTGTTGAAAAGCAAAGCAGTAAAAGCTGTGTTTGGTTATATATGTACATATATCAGGTATATAAATATGAAACTGGAATTTGCCCATAGATGGCCCTAGCTGTCATTGGCGCCATTTTCTTGTTTTGACATCTGATAAAGATTTTCAACTCACAACAATACAAGTTTCATACAACAGCATAGTTTTTAATAGCGTTGAACATGTCGAATTTTGTGCGTAAGTTAATAATAGTTAGATAATAATTAGTAATAATAGATACATAGATAAATAGATAGATATTGTTTCGTTATTAAAAATTAATTCAGACGTAAAATCTACATATAATTGAATTTGTTCACATCATTGGATTAAAAATATTATAGACACATATTTTTGAAACTTTTTTGAAATTGATAATATGTACATACGGTATTTCATTCTTAACTTAGATAACAACATGAAATAATTAATCACAAATCATTTGATACATAAATTAGGTTAGGTTAGGTTAGGAAACACTAATATAAATATACATATATATATATATATATATATATATATATATATATTGACAATGCTTATCTGCTTGTTAATAACAATTAACTTATTTATCCTTATTTAAAAATTTTTAATGTTTAAATTTTTAGATACAAATGGTAAATACATGTGGAGTATGCGAAATTATTGTTGATGAAAATGAAATGCTTCAACATTCTTGTCTGGAGAATTATAATCGTGTGCATATCGATAACAATCGCTATTTTTATCCAGTGTGTGGTAAGACAAGTAAAGATTTTATTACATATTGTGAAGTAATAATTTTTAATGGATACGTTATCTATACATAGACAATGGGACTATCATAAGGCGCAGTGATATAGGCAATAACACAGAAGCCATTGTAGAAGACTTCAACATTGAAAATGAACCATCCACAAGTACACTTAGTACTCAAGAAACTGAGGATATAGAGGAATTACTTATCGAAGAAGTATCTCAAAGAAAAATCCTTTATAATTATAACCTTCCCATCACACAGCGTAATAGACTGGCAATCAGTGAGCAGTGGCAACAAATATCAACAATGTTAAATGATATGTGGC